TGTGCGTCAAGCCGTGCCCTTGGCCACATGTTCTTTAAGGGCTGTTGTCAATGCAGTGAGCAGCTCACGTACATTTTGAATGAAAGGGTGCGACGAAACGATTCGAGGCTCCGCCCAGTTGGCAGGTGATGGTGGGCCAGCCGGACCCGTCGAGAGGATAGGGCAATTGTATTGTCGATGAAGCAAGTTGATGCGAGACGACGGACAATTTCAAGATCTGCCGGCAGATTCGAAGATCCACTTAAGCGAATTAATGCATGCATGTATTGAATAAGGCCTGGACTGTTCAGAATGCTTTAATGATGTAGCGGGACTCGAAAGTTAACCTCAAAAGTAAAAGTTGCTTGCGAATTGGTCGAAGCCAACTTTGAAGGGTACTGACATGAATTGGAGGTAACAGTTGGGTTGGGTTGGGCAAATGGAGATGCAGGACGGTGGGCAAACGACATCTCCGAATAGACCAACGGCAAATTCCACTAGAATGCAATTCTCCTCTTATTGTGACAAAGGGAATTCATGAAAAATATTAAAAGATTTTTTTCTTTCAAACTAAAGGGAACTTATAATTCAACAACAAGGCGAGCAAGTTGGCTTTCTGACGAGAGCATTTCAGCAATTGCCTTCAAGCAACTTGCCCTGGTAGAAGGAAAACAAAGTAAAATTTCACTAAAAATCGATACTCTTCGCATTCGGATGAGATCAATTCACGAATTATTGGACAATAACTTTTTCTTGGTAAACAGAAGAGGACTTCCACTTCCAAGCTAAATCTATATTCTTCGCTCTCCGATGAGATTAATTGACGAAATCTTTCCAAATATCATTTGCTCAGGAAGACGAAGAGGAACACCACTTTTATTCAAAATCGATCCTACTCGCTTTACAACGAGATCAATTCACGAATTCATTCCAAATAACTTTATCTTGGTAAACCGAAATGGACTTCCACTTCCACCCAAAATTGATTCTCTCAGCTCCCGGAAAAGATCAATTAACGAATAACCTCAATGAACTTTCTATTGGTAAACAGAAGATGATTCCGCTTCCGCTAAAAATCTATATTCTTCGCTCTCCAATCAGATCGATTGACGAAATATCTTCAAATAACATTTGCTTGGTAAAACGAAGAGGACTTTTACTTCCACTCTAAGTTGATCTTATTCGCTTTCCAGTGATATTAATTCAAGAACTCATTCCCAATAACTTTTTCATGGTAAACTTTTTCTAAGTAAACCGAAGAGGAATTCTACTTGCACTAAAAATGTATCATTTTTGATCATCGACGAGATAAATTAACTGATTCTATACAAACAAATTTTTCTTGGTAACCTCAATCCTCTTCGCTCTCCGATGCGATCAATTCCCGAACTGCTTGCAAAAAGCTTTTTCTTGACAAACCGAAGAGAACAACCACTTCGACTCCGAATATGTCCTTTTCGCT